TAGGAAGGTAGGAATACCGAGTATGAAAGGGCTAGGTATAGCAGCACCTGACTACAGTCTCTGCTGCTGCTGGGGAGGCTGGTAGATGGAAGAGGGTAGATTGCTGAAGTTAATCAAATGTCTACACTAAGTTCAGCATTAGTATGGTGAGCCCCTGGGAATGGACGGCCTCTCAGCTTCCTAAATAGCATGAACTGGCCCCAGTAGGAAAAATAGGGCAGGTCAAAGTTTCTGTGGCAATCAGTAGGGGGATAAGGCCAGTGAGTAGCCTTTTCATATCAAGCCTGGGAGACATGAGGAGATCCAGAGGGGAAAAAGAGAGAGACAGAGAGAGACAGAGACAGAGAGACAGAGAGAGAGAGAGAGGGAGAGAGAGAGAGAATTGGGTATCAAAGGACGGGTGAAGAACAGAGATACTCAGTTCAATATGAAAATGAGTTTGAATTTCCTCAGCTTATGAAAGGGAGAAAGAGAAAGGTAACTTGGACTCTGTATGTCTCCCTGCAAAAAGCCAGCATGGACTTCAAAATTTGCCACCAGGAGAATGAGCCACACCTAAGTACCTGAGCAGGGTGCAGGTATTGGAGTGACATAATCATTTTGCTCTCCCACTTTAGAATGGAGCAAACCATCATGGATAAGATTAACCCTGCTTGTTTAGAAAGGGTTGGGGCACACACCCATTTATTGAAGAGTACATTTTGGGGGACTTTGAGGTTCTGAATGTTTTATAGACATCCAAATTCCAGTGGAATAGGATGTGACCAAAGACCAGAGGTAGATGTAGAGGAAGGAGATGGTCACAAGAAAAGGGCTACAGATCTGAAGCTGGGCAGACCTAGATGTTATAAATATCTCAGTTTGGGCAGCCCACAAAAACTGTTAGGAACTGCAAAGAACATGTAGTCACACACCATCCACATAGAAATTTGAAGGTTTTCTCCACAGAAATTTAGAATGCTTAAAGCAGATATGGCCTATATCATTCCTGTGGCCTATCCTAAAGGTCTAAGTTTTATACTTGAGTGGTATACTCTTTAAACTTGGAGAGAGCTGAGATAATAAAGAGTGAAGTGTCTTTTCTGCTATATAGCAAGTTAATGAGAGAGCTAAAAATGGACCCAGTAAAAATTGAGGAGGTAACTCAGGATGAATTTTTTTTTCACCTCATTATCCTGGTAAGGAGGAGAAAGTGATTTTTGGATTGGATTAGATCAGATTAATTTATTCATCAACCATAATTAAGCACCTATTGTATATAGAACCTTATGTTAGGTAAGAAATGTACAAAGAAAGATATGTGTCTCTGCCCAGACACAATTCACAGTTTAATAAAGGATGATAAATACAGACACGAATATATAATAACTAGGATGCATAATAACATATGAGAACCTCAAAACAGAAGCACAAAGTGCAAAGTCCAAGGAAGGAAAAATCATTTATTTTCTACTAGGAAATTTAGGGAAGGCTTTCTGGAAGAAGTTGTATTTCATAGACTCGCAGAATCTCAGAGCTGGAAAGGACTTCAGAAGCCATCCCGTCTAATATGTATCTTAATAAGAATCCTATATACAACTGGTAAGTGGCAATTCAGGCTTTGCCTGATGGGAAAGTGGCTACCTCCCAGTGTCAATATGTTCCATTTCTGGGTAGCTCAAATTGTTTACAATGAAGTCTAAATTTTTTCCTTTGCAATTTCTACCCATTATTTCTGGTTCTGCCTACAGAAGACAAGCAGAACAAGACGAATCCCCCCTCCATGCTCGTCAAATATTTGAAAACAGCTCTCATATAAGGCTTCCCTTCTCTAGGTTAAACATACCCATTTCCTTCAACTTATCCTCATATATCATAATATTGAGGGCCTTCAACCATTCTGATCACTGTCTTCTAAATTTTCAAAGGGATCAATATCCTTGTTAAAACACTGGTCCAAAACTAAACAGTATTACAGATGTGGTCTAACAAAGCAGAGTATAGCAAGATAAATATTACCTCTCTCTCTCTCTTTAAAAAAAATATGCATTTTTAAAATTAACAAGCATTTATTTTATCTCTTTCCCATCCCCTTTTTGTTCACAAAGAAGGTCTTGTAACAAATATTCAGTCAAGCAAAACAAATTCTTACATTGACCACATCTGAAAAAGTAGGTCTGGTTCTGCATATTAAGTCCATAATCTCTCTGTCCCAAAGTAGGTAGCATGCTTCATCCTATAGTCCTCTAAAATTATGGTGGACGTTGCTTTGATCAGAGTTCTCACTGTACCTCTCTTCATTCATTTTAAAATCGCATTAGCTTTTTTTTGGCTGTAGTATCGTACTGCCAACTCGTGTTGAATTCAATTGAACATCGAAAATCCACTGAAAACCAAAATCTTTTTTCAGATGAATAACTGTCTGATCATACCTTATGTTCATGAAGCTGAATAAGATCATAAGAAATGCATTTTAGCCCAAGTGTAAGAACTTATTTGTCTCTATTAATTTTCACCCTATTCAATTCAGCCCAGAGTCTTAGCCTGTGAAGATCTCTTTAGATCCCAGCTCTGTCATATGTCATGCTAGCTAACTGTCCTAGGTTTGCGCCATCTTAATTTGAATTGGATAGCATGAAAATGAAATTCTACTGTTGACTAAGGTCCATTTCCACCCTAAGTCTGCAAGGTAGAGAACTTCTCAGGATACATTTTGACACCCAAAACAGCTAAAGTAAAAGAGATGCCTGGGATCTTTCCCCACATACTTTTTTTTTAAAGGAAACATTTGAAAGGGCTGAAATTTTCCAGAGCTGTTTGTTCATAGAGATGTCATAACCGTTGGCTGTTTATGCAGTTTTTCATTTCTGTTTATCGTTCCGGGAAGTAGAGAAGGACTGTTTATATAGAGGCTATATTACAGGATTGGCCCTGCCATGAAGGAGGGGCTGTTCAGGAAATGAGGAGCTGTTTTACCTCGGACACCAAATGCTATATTTATATTAACAGATTCTGGGAATCTTAATGGAAATTCAATTTGATGGCAACACAGTGCAATGGAAAGAACACTGAATGTGGAGGTCTTGGGTTTGAATCCCAGTTCTGCTGTTATAATGAAAAAAGTACCAAACAGAGAGTCAAAAGACCTTGGTTCAGATACTAGCTCTACCATGACCTACCTGTATAAACTAGTGCATGTCACTATATCTCTCTGGGCTTCAATTTCCTCATCTGTATAGTGAGGAGGGTTGGACTAGATCGCTAAGATTCCTTCCCCCTTTGATTCCACGGCCCTATGACAACTCTCTAGGTATCATTTTCCTTAAATGTAAAAAGAAGAAACTGGATTAGGTCAACTCTAAGGTTTCTCTAAGTTCTATGATCTCATAAAGCTCCCATCACCAATACCACTCACACCTACTGGTTCCCTCCTCCAGAGACATATGGACTCATATTGCTTACTTATAAAGCTGACTGAGTCCTATTGTTTTCAGTCATTCATAGAGTCATAGCATTTTAGAACTAGAAACTGATCTATAGATAGATCATTGAATCCATATGCCTCATTTTACAGAAAAGAAAGGCGAGACCCAGAAAGTGCTCTGCCCTAGGTTCCACTACTAGTTCATGATGAAATCAGAATACAGACCTAGAACACACATCTCCTGATATGCTGTCTTTCTGGTCTATCAACCTGGCTCTCTTGCTTTGAACTCCTCAATAACTCATATTTATATAATAATTTAAGTTTCATAGAGCCCTTTCCCACCAACAACCCTATGAGTTGAGTTATGTAAGTAGAACAGAAAGAAAGCCAGAAAAAATTTTAGACAAGCAGGAGAGCTTTGGAAGTCACATGTTGAATTTATTATATATTTTAAAAGAAAAGCAAATTGTACATAATAGAGTCACCGTTTCATGTATAAGTCTTCATCTGTTCCACTGGGTAAATGGAAGTGATCATTGTACTTGGGGTTTAAGTTCAGAATTTAAAAAAAAATTAACAACAAAATATAAATATATTGTAAGCTTCACGAAGAATCTCACCTTTGTTCTTACCATCACCACCACCAAAAACATTACTTTATTCACGTGCATATATTTTGCATATACTTCTTTGTGTACATGCTGTTTCTCCTTTGATTGAGTGAAAGTTCCTTGAGGACAATGAATGTTTAGTTTTTGTTTTTGCACAATGCCTGGCACATAGCAGGTGCTTAATAAATATTAATTAATATGTATTATAGTCCCAGAACCTAGTACCTAGTCCCAGTACCTATAACATAGTAAATAATAAATATTTGATGGATTGACAACACTGACTGGTCAGTGCTATAAAAATTATTGAACTCATTGTGCAAATGATCATAACCTATCTTTTAGAGGAGTGATATCACACTCATCTCTGCCAGGAAAACCCTCCAGTACTCCCAGAGCCAGATTAGAATGCAACTGGGACATATTTAACAAAATGAATAGAAATACAATCCAACATAATGTTAATTTGTGGTTTTCTAAGTTAAGCTACAGGATTCATTTCTATTTGAGCTTGATACCACTGTTTTAGGATACAATGTCCTCTAACCCAGATAGATATGATTATCTTAACCAGACTTTCGAGCAAACCCTTTTTTCTTCATCACTCCACCAATAAGAGAAGGAAAATTACTTGTGTCTTATGACCACATTAAAAGGAGCACTCCTTAACTCTTAGGTGTATTGTATTAATGAGGCAGTGAATTGTAGTAGAAAGAACTCTGAATTTTAATGAGGGAACTTGGGTTCAAATACCAGATCTGACACTTACTACCTGTGTGACCCTAGACAAGAGGCTTAACCTCTATCTGGCCCCCTTTCCTCATCTTCCAGAATGAAGAGGTTTCTGGGGCGTGGTAAAGAAAATCCAGAGTACAACTTGGAGAGAAATGAGACAGGGCTGGCTTGGGCACCCTCCTTAAATAGAGTTTCTGGGAGGAGCCATCCAATCAGAGAGAGAGGCCAGAGGGATGGAGGGTACTTACAACGTGTGAATTCAAGGCCTGGAATGAGCTTCCAAGATGAAAAGGTTTCTCAGGCATGGCACAAAAAGTCCAGAGTGCAGTCTAGAGAGGAATGAAGGGAAAATTTCCCTGGCAAAAAACCTATTACTTTTGCCCTCCTCCATGAGGGCATGAAATTTTCCACTCCATAACACTGTTGGTTAGCAACAGTGTTAGATGTGGTATGAGTTAATGATAATCCAGGGGACTTAAGGACCAGATCATCTTACTGAACTCAGCCAGTGCCTTAATGTATAATCTTAAAGAAGTCCAAAGTCGTTTAGCCTCCCTTTTTCTCTTATGTTCTTTCAAAAATTGGGGGAAATTATACCTTTGATTGGGTCTAGAAGGTTGGATTGAGAAGTAGAACTCAGCTCCATCACTAATTTATGTGAGTTTTAGAAATGTATTCAAATTTGTCTCTGCATAAAATGGGCAAAAATTACATGCTTTTTGGAAAGGCATGAAAATTCTTGTTAGAAACATGTAAAGTGGTACTATTATAGTAGTTGTGATGCATGTAGTCATAAAGTGACTATTCCACGCCTAGTGTCTTCATCCCATGCTTTCATTCTCCTATCTTCTGAAAGAAGTGTCCTGAAATGCTCTATGTGAATATACTTCTCTAAATTAAATAATCAAGGTTGTTTATGGTTAGCTATTGGGGTCAAATACTTACTTCAGCATTTCCAGGTCCTGAACTAAACTATTTTTTAGATGACAGACTAGCAGTTGGTTCTCTACTGTTCTCAATTCAATTCACCAAGCATTTAAGTTCCTGCTAAGGACAAGGCAATGCGCTACTCCCAATATAAAAGGTGATGTATTGAAGTAGCCTTACAAGAGAAGCCTACTTACATTGACCATCATCTTTCCATTTTTCTTTCAGTCACCTTTAATTTTAATTCTTCTGAAATTATAGCATCCCATGATTCTCAGACATATATTACTGGGAATTTTTTTTTTGTCTAAATCCTTGGAGTCAGAAAGACTTGAGTTTGAATTCTTCCTCAGACATTCATTATCTGTGTTACCCTGGACAAGTCACAACCTCTCTGTGCTTCAGTTTCCTCACCTAGAAAATGAGGGAATTGGGAGCTGATAATCCCTGAGTATCCTCCCAGCTCTAGGGCCATGATTCTATGAAGTTTTTTTAGGACCCTCTAGAGCAGACGTGTCAAACTCAAATAATCCATGCATCAATGTATTGATTCAAAAAGCCACATATTAGTATCAATGTTCTATTGTATTTTTACTTATCTCATTAAATATTTCCCAATTATGTTTTAATTTGGTTCAGGCAGGACTCCCATGTTGCAGGCCATAGTGTGTTTAATACCTTTATTATATAGCATGTTTTCAGTTGCTAAAACTTGAAAGAATCCAGTCTTCCCTCCATAACACCATGAGACATCAAACATGAAACATCAAATGATCACCAGAAGTCCCTCTTTAAATAATATCTGGACTCAGGTAATGTCTTGCAGTAAATTAAATTGTATTGTGCTAAGTCAGGATTAGTCTGGCCCTGAGGTCGATGTAGTAGGCACTTATCTATTGATTGAGAGGCACCCCATAAGCATTTACTGATGGTATTCCACCAGTCCCACCACATGCTCATTTTTGTTTTCTCCTTCCTTTCTCTCTTTCTCCTTCCATTCCTTTCTCTAAAATCCTTTCTCTCTCCCTCTCCTTTCCTTCCTTTTCACGTACATCCATCATAGGTTTAACAGTGATACACAAGATTTGTAGATTGTTTCACTATAGTGTTGGTACTCAGGATCAAGAGCTTTCTGACCCTGGGACTCATTCTTTCCAAGCAATACCAAGTCAAAGCATAACTCCATAGGAAACACTGAACGCTTTCATCTACTATTCATGAATCTTGGTTTTAACGCTATTTCAACATACTTATATAATTGAAGCAGAAAAGTGAGCATGCCTTCCCTTCAATCTCCATTGTCCCAAAGTGTCTACCAGACCACATGTGGCCCGCCAGAAGCAGCTAAGGTCCCACCTATCACTAGAGGTTCTTCTGTTTGCCTCCATTATACTTGCAAACAACTGACTAAGGAGGAATTCTTTTTTAAAAGATCACATATTGTGTAAGTGTTGCAACTTCACAAATTCAGTCCTCTTCATTCTTTAGGCATATCCACAAGATAAGGTTTTTACCTATTAGGTTTTCTCTTACTCAATGCTTGAGAGAAAAATCATTCATGGCTCCAGAAATCACTAGAATTGCTTAGAAACATATTGGCTTGCACACGATGAGCTCAGAAGTTACAAACATGCTTGTTGTTCATTTTTTCTGCCCCTCCCCCTGGGCTATCCAAGGGTATGATGCCAAGATTCTCACGCGGGGAATCTTCCCATGAAGATTAAAGAAAGGCTTGTAGGAGAGTAGTTTCAAGAACGGAACTTGAAAGCTCACCACTAGATGATGGAAGAACCCTCACCTATTCCACAAGTGTTTTATGGTCACTGAGTCAAAGGTACTTCCAGTTCCAAGCTACCTCTAAAGGGTCGACTTCTGAAGCTGTCTTTAGCCCTCCAAACCTGTAATATGTTCCTGACACACTACAGTTGTGGCAATCTAACAGTCTGTCATAGGCTTGATAACGCTGAAATTCCCCCCCCCCAACATCCCCCCACTTTGCTTGCTGAGATATTTACATCGGTCTAGTATGTCCTTGGAGTGAACAGACCAAAAGGGGAGCCTGGCATCCCCCTTTCAATAGAAGGCTTGTGCTGCCTTAATTCGGATGCCTTAAAAGGCTTCCAGAGCAGAGGTGCTTCAGTTCTTATCTCCTGTGGAAGGCTGTTTCTTTGGTGATACTGTATTTATAGCTCTCTCTGGCAAGAGAAGACCTGTCTAATTACTAAAGACATAGTTAGGAGTAATCCAATGAAGCAGTAAACCCCTGCACTGGCCGCTGTCCTCTCATTTCAGGCAAGGGAGCCGACAGAAAGGAGCTGCCACTGGGTTGTAGCCGAGGTAAGGACAAAATGACTCGATCCACAGTAATTCTCTTTCCCCCTCCTTCTTCTCCTGCTCCTGGGCTGCCAGTAAGATAACAAATACTTAATGTAAGAAAGCTTTGCTGTTTGGGGAGGAGAGAGCTTTAAAAACTGTTAGTTTTCCCTCCACCGTTTCTGCTTACATAATTTCTCTTCTTGATGCCAATCTGGGGCTGCCATCCAGGTGTCAAACGGCTGGGCTCATTATGCAGTGTTATCCCTGACACCAGAAAAACCCTGTCCCTCTGCGGATTCTTCCGAAAGAATAGTGCATTTTTCCTTCCGTGTGGACTGTCCTTCTTCCTATTTGGATAGAAAATTGCATGGAAAAGGCCTTGGTTATTTTTTTGCTTCTTATACACTGAATATTTGGAAACTGGAAAATTCCAAAATAATAAACAACAACGGAAAAAACATGGACGAAAATCTCCACATTGCCTTTTAGGCTTTGCTCTGTGGCAGCATTTCCTGATGGCCTGCGGGTGCCTCTGGGTGAAAGGCAAATCACTGATGAGACTGATTACACACTGGGAAAGTATGTTTAAACAAAACGACTTGTTATGGCTTATGGTATGAAAGTACAAATAGCTGTTGTGGGCTTTCCAGAAGAAAATGCAGTCACGCTTTTGCAGTAGACTCTAGCCTGATGTGCCTAGGACTGAGTCATGAATGCTAGAGCCCAGCCAACAGCTTGGCACCCTGCATTGGTTGCTTAGTTACCTCTCCTCAGAAGCCAGGCAAGTGCTATTTCCTACCTCAAGTCTATGAAAGAAAGCTGTTTGTGGAATCCCTTTATGATGCTAGTATTAGGGGCCAAGTCTAATCCCTGCTTTATAAAGCTAGTCATATTTCATAAAGTTTTAAATACTTGTAGTTGTGTTTAAGAAATGTTGAGTGAGGGAGGGTTGACTAGTGGTAGATCCAAGTCCTTGTAATACGTACTTGCTCCATAATGGGTCTCGTGGTCAGATACAATAAACAAGAGCTTATGGTAAATAAGATTTGTTGTTCTTCAGTTGTTCAGTTGTGTTCAACTCTCTGTGACCCCACGGACCATAGTACACCAGGCCCTTCTATCCTCAACTCTCTCTCAAAGTCTGTCCGAGTTCATGTTCACTGTTTCCATGACACTATCCATCCATATCATCTTCTGCCATCCCCTTTTCCTTTGCCTTCAATCTTTCCCAACATCAGAGTCTTTTCCGGTGAATCCCATCTTCTAACTATGTGGCCAAACTATTTAAACTTCAGCTTCAGTATTTGACCTTCCAGTGAATAGCATGAATTAATTTCTTTAAGTACTGACTGATTTGATCTCTTTGATGTCCAAGGGACTGTCAAAAGTCTTCTCCAACAATCACAATTTGAAAGCATAGGTTCTGCGGTTCTCAGATAACTCACAGGCATACATTGCTACTGGAAAAACCATAGCTTTGGCTATATGGACCTTTGTCAGCAAGGTGGTGTCTCTGCTTTTTAGTATGCTGTCCAGATTTGTCATAGCTTTCCTTCCAAGGAGTGTCTTTTAATTTCATGGCTGCAGTTATCCTCTGCAGTGATATTTGAGCCCAAGAATATAAAATCTGGTACTGCTTCTATTTCTTTTCCCTTTATTTGCCAGAAGTGATGGGACCAGTTGCCAATATCTTAGTTTTTTTGATGTTAAGCTTCAAGCCAGCTTTTCCACGCTCCTCTTTCATCCTAATCAAGAGTCTTAATTCCTCTTCACTTTCTGCCATCAGAATGGTATCATTTACATATCTGAGATACCTTGACTCCAGCTTGTGATTCAATCAGGCTGGCATTTAGCACAAACATATATCTATAAAAACATGCATGTAAGTATAATACAGTGTGTTCCAAAAGTCTTCGTGCAGTTTTCAGCTCATCAACACTTAAACTGCACTAAGACTTTTTTAAAGCTTAAACTTAAACTTTTGTAGTTTAAGCATTGATGAGCCGAAAACTGCACTAAAAATTTTGGGACATATAATAAAAATTATTTACAATATACACATATACTACATTATGGTAATATAGTACACTTTATATGTACACATATGCATTATAGTACATGTATATGGCCAGACTAGACCATATGTAATTTATAAATTACATGTATACTTGTGACAAATCTAGCCTATGCATATTTGAATTTCACAAAAATTAAGCATAGAAAGTTAAATTGTATTCAGTGTATTTTAGGGTTACTTCTTACTTCAATGAGTCTGTGATCTTGTCAATATGCATATCATGACCCATCCATGTCCTCCCATCCTGCACAATTATGTCCATATGTTTTGGCCAATCATATACAGAGGATTTCCTTTGGTTCTCTTAATATTTGATGACTACCATCGTAGCACTCACAGTCTCCATCAGTCATTCCTCTTTCTTGTCAGGTAGTATAGTGGGTAAGAGTGCTGGACTAAGAATCCTTGAGGACTAGAGTTCACCTTCCACCTCAGATACTTCCTAGCTTCTTTGGCAAGTAACTTCATCTCAGCCTCAATTTCCTCCTCTATAAAATAAGGATAATAATAGCACCAACTTCATATGGTCATTGTGAGGATCACAATGTAACAGCACTTTTAAGCCTGAAAATGCTATATAAATACTAGCTATTATTATTATTATTATTATTATTATCATCATCATCACCAAATGGCCTGGCCACCCCTTTTTCTGTCATATATATTATTAGTGATA